ACTTACATCCAGAATGTTAAAAACGACATACATATAATGAAGGCAATCATTTTATAATTATATTACAAAAATCTTCCAGCCTCCAAGATTTAATAAATTGACTTGTATCAAAATTATAGATTACAAATTGTAATGATTACTGACTGCTTTAAAACTTGCACTTTATAGATATGATGTCAACAATTGACTAGAAAAGCACAAAGTCGTAAAAAAGACAGAATATTAAACCAAACAACCATGCTTTCAATTCATTGAACCAAAATGCAATATTAACATAACTTTTATGAAACATTAGAGCTTGTTTTTAAGACTGGACTCTTTCTTGTACATATCATCCCAAAACAGCATTCTCTTTTCTGAAATCACTCCACTTTTGTTCTCTATGGTTGGTCCTAATTTTAAGAATGACATTTGAGAACTATGCGATGGGATCCAGCTTATGTCAGAAGATTTATCATTCTGAGGGGTTGGGTTGCTGAAAAAAGAAAAAAAGTAATGTTTTATCAAAAAAGAAACAAAATATTAAAACATACAGCACATTTTCATTCTGGATGTAACATACCCAAACTTCACAAAATTTGTCCACAATTTAACCATTATATTCCGCATGACATAAGCATGTGAATCAGATGGTGCCTCCGGAAGCAGATCCATATTGAATAAATACCCTAACTCATCGGCATGACAAGCTCCAGGCATACTATCTTCCCCTAGCACATTCTTAAAAACATTGAAGACACCCTCATAACTAAACTCATATATATATGGAGAAGTGAACTTGCAGTGACATTTCATTGCTTTATAGAAACCATAAATAAACATTAGATCACCTGTGAGCTGTCAAAAAAAAAAAGAATTACATTAAGACATCTATTACAACACTTCAGAATGCTACTGAATGCATAGAACAGATAGTATGTCTACTTACATCAAAGTAATCAACAAGATTTTCTTCTGAGGCTGGCTTATTTTTCATGTAAAACCAGCGCATTGAGGATGCAATTTCTTTTTCCTTTGTTGATCCACGTTGAGATGATAAATCTGTTGGAACTAGCTTGGGAATTCTGCTATCAAACTTCTTCAGCATCTCTGATCTGTCCTTACCAAATATTGCTGAAAAGAGGAAATATTAAAATAGGAGGGTACTTGTGCGTCACGTTATGCCTTCACATAATATTTCTGACATACCAGCTAAGAGAAGCATGCCTTCTCTGTTATTGACTCCTGCCATAAATGGACCCTTGAAAAACTTTCCTTCATTTAGTAGTTCGATGGGATTTTGAGAGAGAAATGGCTGAACAGAACCATCTGATATTTCGACTGAAGGAACAAATGGAAAAGGAGCAACCACACAATAGTACTCTTTGTCCTGTTTCCAAGAAGAGAAAATGTAGGAAAGTAAAGAAAACAAGTGATTTTTTTTAGTATTGGAAAGAAAGCAAATTACCTCTCTAGTAAAGGCTTTATGAGAAGCCCTCACAAGATCTTCAGCTGGGACAGATTGGAGAAACCTGATAAGCTCAGTAGCATTATTTCCCTTAAATCCCAGATTTTCACCAAGACGAAATGCACGAGATCGTCCTTCATTTGTGAAAGCCCAAGGATTGATAGCAACCCCACTTTCAGATATTGCCGATGAAAACAAACCTAAGAGATAATATAAAACGTGGGGCTATAATACATTTTTTGCTATGTGATTTGATTTTAAAATTACAGAAGTTAGGTAGACATTACCCTGAGACATTGGAGACATCATATGAAGGTGGACACTGGCTCCTCCAGCGCTCTCTCCTGCAATCGTAACTCTCTTTGGATCTCCACCAAAACTGGAAATATTTCTTTGAACCCATTTTAGAGCAGCAACTTGATCTTTTAAGCCCATATTTCCTTGAGCATCACCAGGTTCTTCAACACACAAAAATCCTGAAAAAAATTGTCAGACCTCTTTCTTTAAAAATTTTAGCAGAGAGGAGCACACATAATTTTTTTTACAAAATATTGTAAAGAAAACTTACCAAACATATTGAGTCTATACCCAATAGTGACTAAAATAACCCTTTCTTGGACAATGAAGTCAGGACCATTCATTTCAACCCCAGCACTACCTGTGGTAAATCCACCTCCATGTATTCTGACCATCACAGGCAATTTTGATGCTCCCCATATATCTAACTGCAAAACAAGAAAAACGTTTCAGCGCTTTGCTGGTGAAATGAGAGAGACACTAGTTTTGACCAATTACCTGAGGAGAGTAAACATTTAAATATAAGCAGTCTTCACTACCTCTCAGGTCACGAAGATACATGTGATGTTGGATGCATGGATCTGCTTCTTGTTGACAATCTTTCACTTCAGTCCATGAGTCGAGATCTTCAGGTGGCTGCAACGGAAAATCTTATTTCGTTTAAGGAGCAGTTACTGGAAGAAATAAATAATAGCCCTGGAAATTTGATCTAGCTTACTTTAAATCTCAATGGTCCAACAGGAGGACGAGCGTAGGGTATTCCTTGAAAACTGAAGTATTTTCCTTTGGTATCATCTGATATGACTTCTTTTCCACGTATCGGACCCTTTTCAGTTTTGATAATAATTGATTTCGACATGACTATCACAGACAATGAGCTTTATATTCTTCAGTAGCTCTTTCACACTCAGTGCCTGAATAGTTCTGCAATAAAATGCCCAAAATCAAATAAAGATCAAATTTAAACTTAAGCTAATAGCATTACTAACAGTATATCGTGAGCTATAGTAAAATTGAGGAAAATGGTTATCTAATCAACAGAACTTGCAGGCCAGACAGCCTTTCATGGACTGACTGTAGTAGGTGCCACCAGGTGTTCATATAATGAACTGATACAGGAGCAGACGACTGACTGATAAGAGATAAACTTAAGAAAGGTGAAATGATAACTTTGACACAAGAGGGGAAAAAACACTGAGGGACAACATTCATACAGTGAAGATATGACAATGTAGTTAAATCCATTCGTAAAAAAAAACTAGAATTTTAACGAGCTCCTCAGCACTCTGATGACAATCGGTGTCAGGTCAAGGGTTATCCATAGCCATACAGCACTCACCAAGTTTACATAGAAGTAGGCAAATCTTCGGGGAGTAAACCTAATGCGGCATCAAAATGTACTGTAATTAATTGTTGCAACTTTCAACATATATCAAAACACAAATTACGTGAGGAAAGTATGACGTTGCTTTATAAACAAACCAGGATAACAATAATAGGAGGAACAGCTGATGCTGATCGCAGACTTCCCAGTAGAGGCGCGTGCAAGTTGTGGCCACTAGGAGCGCTAGTGGTCGTGGTGATGATCTCTCCCAACCACTTCCCCACCCTTCCCCTCATGTGGCCCGAGGGGAGAGAGGGGTCGAGGGGGGCGTATTTGCTAAAGGTGAGGCCTCTGAACTGTCGTGTTACTGATCTCTCTCGTCTCGGGTGGTGGGTGTTATCCTCATTTTATGTGTGTATAACTGGTATCACGCATCGTGTCACCACAAAGGCGGTGTTGCTAAATAAAGTCATAAAGTACGTTGGCCGATTTCCCACGCAGACACATATGTGTTTAGTGGGCAGCGGTGCCATTGTGGATTTCCTACACACAAGGTTTGTGTATAAAAGGAAATTGCCCACCTGCAAGGCAAGGCCACCCTTCATCCGCGCCTGCTAGGCAATTCTTCGGTACAGGTGTATGGATGTTATTGCCTGGTATGCAGGCGTAGATGCAGCCCACTAACTAAACACCCGAAAATTGCGCGGGAAATTTGTGTACTGTGTGTGCCCGGAAAAAGTCGGTCTAAGAACTTCTTCAAACCCGACAGACGACAATAATGCATGCACCATGACGAGAAGCTCCCAGCATTCGACACTAGGAGCACCAGCGCCGGTGAGGGTAGGCCGGCCCGCTGGCCACGCATGCACCTCATCGCTGGCGTGGCCTACCTAGCAGGCGTTTGTTGGCTGTTGTAGCTGTTGTATCTGCCCCCCTGCACCTGGGGGCAATACTGAACTATCGCCTGCTGTAACGGAGGGCCACAGGGCGCTCGTTTTTATTTTTCTTATCTCGCAAGAAGAGGAATGAAGCTCAAATTAATACCTAAATAATTTTATTGTCGTACACTTAAGGACTAAAAGTTGACAACGAGACTGGCGAGCGCCTTTCGCTCCTTCATGTGGGAGCGTCCGACGTGGACGCCTGCGCTGATTGCAGTGGCGCACTGCCTGTGGAGGTTGTCGTTGTCGTCGTCGTCGTCGTCCGCGGTGAGGGACTGCGAGCGCAGCGAGGACGTTAGCTGCGAGAGAGGCGGCACGGCGTTAAATCAAAGAACGAGCTGTGAAGATTCTCTACCGCCAGGCGCGGTATAAGGTTCGGCTGACAAGGGGATGTACCGTGGGTCGCCTTCTTACAGGGGTTTTGTAGCACAAATTGCCAACCTTCCAGGCTGCTCACTAGAGACGGTCGCCCCTCTTGTACTTCATGCCGCGTCTGTCTACGACGAGAAAACGTACCTCGCCGATAGTGGTGGACTCCAGATGGTAGTTGTTGCTGCTGACCAAGGTGACGGTCAGCTTGTCCCCGAGAACCACCGGCCGGTACTGGCAGAGAGCCTGCACGCGCCGCAGCACGCAGCTCAACGCGGCCTCCAGAGCCACGTCGCCGTCGAGTCCAAGGTTCGCGAGCGCCAGGCGCAACTGCGCGCCCCAGCTCGGCGTGCGGTAGATCTGGTCCTCCGTCTGAGACACAAGAGAGGGGAGCGCCCGTCAGAGACCACGTAGGCAATCACGCTGGACACGGCTGAGGGCAGCGGGCAGGCAGGCCCAAAGGCTGCACCAGGCTGTATACAGTATACCCCACGGAAAACTCACCTCTCGGTCAAGCTTGAGCAGGTACTTCAGCAGCGCGGAGTGCAGCCCGTTGGGGTGGTTCAGGAGAGGCTTCACGGCGGCCTGGAGCGCGTCGGGCGAGGCGTCGACCAGGAAGACGGACGCGTAGCAGCCCTGGCTCTCGGTCAGCATTCTGGCGGCCTCGAGCGCCACGCAGCCGCCCCAGCCGCGACCGGCCAAGGTGTACGGGCCGTGAGACTGCACCCGCACGACGGCGTCCCTGATGGCGGCGGCCGCCTCCTCCACGCTGGCGGCGCTGTCGGGGGGCGTGAGCACCACGGCGGTCGCCACCAGGTGGCGGGCGGTGGGCGCCAGCTCGCGCTGAGGCGAGTCGCTCAGCCCGGCCACCATGAACACGGGCGGCACCTCCTTGTTGCGGCGGCTGACGGGCCCGCCCATGAGCGTCGGCAGGACGCGCTGGGTCACGCTGTCCGTGAGCGACAAGCCCAGCCGGCGCAGCGCCTCCAACGAGTTCGGCAGCAAGCTGGACAGCGCCGAGTTGGTGCAGTCCGAAGTGTCGACCTGGTCCGGCAGGATCTGCAGCACGTCCACGGCGTGCATGCCCGGCTGGTTGGCCGTCCGGAGGATCTGCAGGAGCGTTCGTGTGGTTTGAGTTATTGGAGAAAGGGGATTGGGCAAGTAGTTTTGTGTAGAGGTCCTGTACCTGCTGAAGCGACATGAGGCGTATGTCGACGGGTAGGTCGCCGAGCGATGCCAGCACAGCAGGGTAGCCCTGCTCTCGGCGGCAGCGCACGGCGTCGTCCAGCTCCAGAGATCCCTGCGTGACCAGGACGGCCAGCGTGCAGCCAGGGTCGCGAGTGGCGGCGTCCAGCGCGCGGAGGCGCCCGGACTGCTGCTCCAGCACCACGACCAGGCCCAGCGGTGCGGCCTGGCTGGCGGCCTTCACGAGCTGCGTCAGGTCGGCGGGCGGGGAGGGCAGCGCGCGCACGCTCGCGCCGTAGTGCGAGGCCAGGAGGGAGAGGCGGCGCGCCAGCCAGGCGCTGCCGGCCGCGCGGCCCGCCAGCGACACGCTCACGTCGCGCGCCCCGGACGACACCAGCCACTCGGCCACGGAGACGGCCCGCGCCGCGGAGCTGCCCAGCACCAGGCAGCTGCGGCACGGGTCGAGGAAGGACGTCGCCGCGGCCGAGTCAGACTTCATGGACAGCAGCACCTTGCCCGCGCCCTCCGCGACACGCCTGGAGTGAACCACCGGGATGAGAACGAGACCACGCAGTATCGCAGAATGTACAATCACACCAGGGACTAGGGGAGTGTCCGAGGACACGGTCCAGGTACGCTGAAGAAGCAACGCACCTCTGAGATTCTGCCAGCGCCTGGATCGGCGCCGTGTAGCGAGGCAGGGGGCGCACCGCCCCTTGCTGGATCGCCGTGAACATGGCGTCCCTCACGCGCGTCTTGGTTTCCGGCCGAACCGTCAGAGGCCAATTCCACGCCACCGAGTACAGGGAGGTGCTATGAATGAACGGTTGCATTCCTGGTAACGACAAGATTACGGATTAAGTTAGGCATAGATATGTCAAACATGTAAAGTGCTGATTCCATTCTCCCATTGCGCACCTAGTTTTCTACCCATAAGGGCGTGGTCCCCGCCGACATGGACAGTCCTGCCGTACTTCTTAAGGATTAACATGACGGTCTGTAGCTCATTGGGTCCCCCCTGGACCAGCGCCACGTCAATACACTGGGAGGTGTTCAAGCTGGCCCTCAAGTCGCGGCAGTACCTCTCCGCGGTGCCCAGGAGCACCTCCAGCTGGGGGTGCGGCAGGCGCGCGCGCAGGTCGGCCCGCTCCCGCTCGTCACGCACCGAGGTGACCACGTGACAGCCCTTGGCCAGCAGCAGGGTGATGGCCGCCTGGCCGACCGCCGTGCCGCCGCCAACGACCAGCGCCCGCTCACCCGCGCGCGGCTGCAGCAGCTCGTTGATGTACAGCGCCGTCGAGTAGGCGAGCGGCACCGTGCCAGCGTCCTCGTCGGACCACCCCTGTGGCACGGGCCAGGCCAGGATGGCGTCGGGCAGCAGAGGCCCCGCGCTCGGGAAGCACACCCCCATGACGCGCTGGCCGTCCGCGGCCCGCGCCGCGTAGTCCAGCAGCCCCACTGCCGTGCGCGCGTCCTCCGCCTCGTCGCTGTAAGGGTTGACGCCCAGGTACTGCAGCTGCATGCCGTCCATGTGCATCTGGCGGGTGCGGCTCAGGCGCTCGCAGTTGCCGGTGGTGAGGCTGGCCACGTGCAGCCGGAACACGCCACCCCAGCGGCCCGCCTGCAGCACATTGACGCGCAAGCCCAGGCCGAGCTGCGCGGCGTAGGGGGCGGCGTCCGGGCGGAAAGGAGGCGCCTTCGAGTCCTGGAGGAAGACGCAGTGTGCACGGTTGCCGCCCGGCGCAGCCTGTACGATCTTGACAACGCCGGGGACGCGCTGCGCCGGCACACCTCGGAACACCATGTACACGACGGCACCCTGGCACAGAGCCAGGCGTTCCACCGGCACGTCGCTGTCCTCCATGACGTGCAACACCTCGCTCGCTTGGTCCACGTCCACGACGTGCTTGAGCAGCGCGTAGCGCGCACGGCCCTGCTCGTAGGCCAGCAGCTCGCGGACCTCGGGCGGCAACTTGAACCCGGCCGGCACCTCGGCGAGCAGGAGGCCCCGCTGGCGACGCACCGCCGTCAGGGCTTGGTCCAGGTTGGACGAAGTGCTGACCAGCAGCGCCGCGCTGTCCCTGGATCCACTGAACGCGACTTGGACGTTCAACTTGCGACGGAGAGGAAAGAAGACAGTCAGTGGTTCATCAGGTTGAAGGGTCCAGGCAGGAAGAGAGCTGTAATGTTCATGTACTCACATCGGGCAGCTGCTGCTCGGCGGCCTGATAGACCGCGTCGAGGAGGGTGCCGCGGGCCGGCGAGCTCTGGACGGCCGTGACAAGGAGGGGGGTGCGGCTCTGGGTACTGGCCACCTGAAGTGACACGGACGACAGGTGGACCAGGTCCTTGATGGCCTCCTTGACGCCGAAGGGGATGAAGCCCTTGGCCTGCACCAGGACTGGGACAAACGAGGGAGCGAGGAGGGCGCCCCGCGTCTCCACGTTGACCACCTCCAGGCGGCCCGTGCTCGTCGACAGCGCGAGGCTGTGGCGCGCAAGGTCATAGTGCAAGGTCTGCTCTGATCCCGGCGCCAGCGCTACAACACAATGGTTGGTTGGTTTAAAACTTTTGGGTTTCTGATTTTTTTTTCTTATACTGTGAGAGTCGTTGGGCATTTTTGGTGGGGCACCTCCATTGTCTAAGGTGCTCGCTTGGCCCCTCCTCACACCTGGTAGGTGAGCCGCTTCGGCAGGGACTAACATTGCCTTATGCAAATGGCCCACCTGAACACCACCGCAAAGAGGGGTTTCGAGCGATACCGGGGTGCGGGGAAGGACTTTGACCCGCCCTTCTGGGAGAGGGAAAAGGAAGTGAGACAGACATCTCCTGCCGTCATGAGCACAACTCGCATTTCAATTTCGAGTTACTTCTTTAGCCCTAACACTCCGCGGGATACGTTACGAAGAGCGCTTGTGTGTGTTTGTTCAAGGGACTTGATGATGAACTAAAGTAAGAATTGCTGGAAGTTTCATCACAAACAAAAGGTCCAAGTACAAAAGTGATGGGTGAACCTACAGTAAACCGGACCCCGTGATCCCGTCTACCTCTAGCGAATAACAAATCAACCACTTGTTTGTGCTTACTGAAGCACACCCGATCTTTACATCGGCAGCTTGAATGACTCAGAATATTCATCAAGACAGACACGATGAATATATGTCCTCATTATGTAAATAGTTACACATTCTAAAATGACCATGGCCTTCAATCTCCCTCAGAAAATTAATGCGATGCCAACGTCCGCTCATTCTGAACGGTACTTCCGCATTTTACAAAATATCCAAAATATTGTTTAAAATTCAAAATTTTTAAATTTGTAAATTCCTATATCGATCCCCCTACCCCCCC